CGCCGCCCGCCGGACCCGCCTCCGGGACTCCGGTTTCTGCGCCGGAGACGCCGCCCGCCGGACCCGCCTCCACGTCTCCGTTTCCTGCGCCGGAGACGCCGCCCGCCGGACCCGCCTCTACGTCTCCGTTTCCTGCGCCGGAGACGCCGCCCGCCGGACCCGCCTCTACGTCTCCGCCTCCTGTGTCGTGGGCAGCCCCCGGACTGTTTTTACTGTGTTTTCAGTTCCTGTGTGGATTAATTTTTGTTTTGGACAGTTTTCTGGACACTTGCCCTCCGGCCATCGCCCCTCCGCCCACCCTGTTGGGTTGTTTTGTGTTTTGGACTGTTTTCTGGACTCTGGCCCTCCTGCCGTCGCCCCGCCGCCCACCCTGCTGGGTTGTTTTTGGACTTTTCTGTTTGGGCGTCTGGTATCCGCCCTTGAGGGGGGGGTACTGTCATGATCCGTGGTTTTCTGTGTGTTTTTGAGTTTTTCAATGTGTTCCTGTTTCCCTGTGAGTCTCTGTCCTGTCTTCCCCGTTGATTGTCTCCCAGGTGTGTCTACTTACCTGATTACCCTCCATGTGTATTTAAGCCCACCTGTGTCTGTGTTCTTCGTCGGGTCCTTGTCGTCGTTTGTCGTAGTCAGTGTCGTCATGTAATCACTCGCCAGTAGAACTGTTTAAGTCCTGGTTTGTGTATGTTTCTGTCGGATTCACCAGTAGAACTGTAAAGTCCTGGTTAGTGTTTTGTTTCGTTTAGTCCTGTTGGTCAGTTGCTACCGGCTATTAGCTGCGTGCTTGTTCCTGCCGTGCTGCCTGCCTTGGACTGTTTGTGTGCTATTCTTATTATCATTAAATACATCATCTTCACCATACCTGGGTCTCAGCGTCTCTCCTCACCACCACCAACCACACACTTCATGACAACCAGAGTTTGATTAAAGTGAAATAAACAAAATGTATGAATGTGAATGTTTCTTTCTCAGCCTCAAAAGTCAGAAAACATGTTTTCTTTAATCTTTTGACAGATGCAGAGTCGTGTTTTTCAGCAGCAGATACAAAGTCCATTGTTAGAATATAAATTTAAAACCTGAAGGCTTAAAAATGAGCATTTTCTCTGCATCAGCTTATTTATTTAACTAGAAATTATTGTGTCCTCATTCTGTCTGAATAACTGAGATAAAGAAATAATGACTTCTTCCTCCAACTTTGAGATCTACCCCAAAATGTCCATGGATGCGGACAACAAGCGGAGAAGGCTCAAAGGATCCAAAGATTGGAGAGAAAATGGGTCACTGGCTGCATTAGCGGCTTTTTAATACAACAACTTCCATCTGAAATGAGAAATCGAGCCGTCGGTGCGTCACGTTCACTGTTTAAATTTCCCATTGTTTTCCTCCAAAAGCAGAAACGAGCCAGCTCACCATGTGCGCTTGGCGGAAAAACAAACCCAGGATTATTCACGGTGTTGCTTCAGTGCTTCTTCAAAGCCTGCAGAGGTGTCTTAATCTGCAAAGACACAGGAGCTACGAGATAAAAAAGAAACGCAGCTCGCATGTTTCTTGATTTATACAAAAAAATAAAAAATCAGAGATGCTGGAGGTGAAGTGCGGTGGTAGCGCCTAAATGAGAGGCTCTAAATGAAGCAGAGCTGTAATTAGCACTAATAGCTCGTCAGCTGCTTCGCCTCGAGGGAGAGGACTTCCAGAACGAGTCGCAGAAAACAGACGGCTTTGGTTGGAACAAATTTCTAATGATTGGAAAGAGACCCAAGTAGGACGGGTTACTCATTACGACTAAATGTTGTTAGATGATTAAAGATGTGGGCGAACAATGAATCACAGCCTGTTGTGGTTGTCTTAACACTTGACTTATAAAGAATCCTGTTTTACTCTTGATGTGAACCTCATTATGCACCATGTATGCTAATAAGATCAGCTAATGACAGCGTTAAAGGCAGAAAGAAAATGTATATATATATATATACTCTGTCACTGGATATTGAGGAGCCAAAGTTTCAGACTTTCAGAGCGGCGACTTGTCTTGAAAACCAGGATGACATTAACTGATGAACAAAAGGCTTTTAAATCACTTGTTCTCCACAGAGGCTGCATTTCTTTACAGGATTAGATTTTTTAAACATATTAAATGGATCATTAGCATGAAAACTTGAACCTGATCATTTAAAAGAAGTTCAGTATTATTCCTTCAGTTTTGTATTTTAAAGATATGTGGCAACATTACTTATGCTGATTGTTTTTCCCAATCATGTCGTGTCAAAATGTAGAGGGTTCTAGTTTCAAACTGGAGAATCAGTGGGATTTTAATCTGTGGAGTTAAGCAAAGAAGAAGGAGGAAGAGGAGGAGGAAGAAGAAGGAGGAAGAGAGGATGAGGAAGAAGTGCTCAGTGTTTGCGGAAGTAAACATGGAGGCTAACGGTGGAGCTTAGCTTATATATTTGAAGTTGTTGTCCATCCGGAGCCAGTATATGACCACTTAATCCTCATTATAGACCGTCATAGTGGTTGTTTTTCTTGCCCGTATTAGGACACTAAATAGTGACGTTTGTCGAATATCAATGACGCGACCTGGCCGTTCAGACTCGCGTCACGTTTGAATCGACCCAAGTGGCCTGGGTCACATTTGAAAATAATCCGACCTGTGTTGTTCAGACTGTCCTGAAAAGATCAGATACAGATCGCATTAAGGCAAAAAAAAACAAAAACAAAAGGAATTTGGTCACTTCAGGCTGCAGTGTGAACGCAGCCTTAGAGCAAAATGGAAGTTCAAATTTGCATAATAGATCACCTTAAAATTTTAACTCAGGGTTCTGACTTCTGCTTCCAGTCCTGAAGATTTCCCACTTCGTAGTCTTGTGCCTCTTGTTGGTTCTGTCTCCTCCTCCTCCTTCACACCTGCCCGTCTTCTGTCCTCTCCGTCCCAGCCTGTGCATACCGCGGGAGCTGCCGCTGACCATCCAGTCCTGCGTCCTGCCTAAAGACTGCCAGGTGACGGAGTGGACCGACTGGAGCTCCTGCTCCAAGGCCTGCGCGGACCCCGAGTCTCCAAGGGGAACCCGCACCCGGAGAAGACAGGTGCTCCAGTTCTCTGTTGGCGAGGGCGCAGAGTGTCCGGTCTTGGAGGAGACGGAGTCCTGTGAACCTCCGGGGGGAAGCGTTCCTCCCTGTGCAAGGTAATTTATATCTGATGCTACTTAAGCCTGTCAAAATAATAAACTTACATTTCCCCCAGAAATTATTGCAAAAAAATATAATATTGTGATTTTGAGGCCATAATCCACCAAAATAATAATGATAATATTAGAATATTAATGCAAGTATACCCACTTAAACATAAAGAAAACTTAAATTTATCAAGATAATTTAACACTGGGAATGGAAAATGTTTTAAATATCCCAAATAAATGGTTACCCTGTCTTGGTAACCAAAATTGCATTAAAAAAAAATATAATGATTGAGCTTAGACAGGGAAAACAGGCAAAAGTGGCAGGCAGTGCAGAAACAGCCAGTGGAACTGTTACTTTTTCATCAATATTGAGGAATTATTGACTACAAAGCTCATATATCTTACTGAGTCACTTTTGTCTTATTTCAAGTAAACTAAGATATTTGCACTAGAAACTAGACCAAAAATGCTTGATAATATTTTGTGTTTTTGCAGTGTAAGCTAAAATCAAAAATATTTAATGAGCAAACGGTCTAAAAACTAAAACGAGCTGAAGTAGTCAAACAAAAAGCTACAACGAAATAAAACCCAAAACTATTTTAACACTGCTGATGTCAAAACTACAACTTCTGATCTGTTGGTGGAAATTCATGGGTCTTTATGACATTTTCAAATTGGTTTTAAAGGCGTAGTGATCTCAGTGGCATCTGTCTTTAAAGAAATTAAGCATTAAAAAATCTCTGAACACAGAAATGAATTTAGTCTGGTAATTTTTTTTTATCCAAATTGACCTAAAACTAGAAAAGTTGAGTCTGATTCAGACTGTGATGTAAAAACTGGTTGTGTTTTTTTATAAATGCTACATAAATATCCAGTTTATACTGTAAATATATGTAGTTATTATGGTATCCTTGCCTTTTCTTGCAGTATTCAGACTCTGCTATGAAATACTGCAGGGACTCATTCAGTATTTCAGTCACGCTCTCGCACCATACAGAAAAATAAAAGCGTTGGCTCAGGCTCCACGCGCTTCCTGTTGACCTCCCTTTTCACGTATCACCAGGATAATTTGCTCTCCTGGGTGGTTCATGCCTGTGTGTGTGTGTGAGTGTGTGTGTGAGAGTCAGCATATGGATAGAGATTAGTATAAGTGGCTGGGCGGGTGCCAGACAAAAAGTAAAGGCAATTGCAGGGAGACTGTAAGGCTATTTTGAATTTTCACAGACGATGTTCCTGCATTCAGTCTGACACACAGCTCAGTTTCAGCCCACTTCAAACTGAAGCCATATGTTTTAATCCAATCCAAGGGATTATTTGGATTCCTGTCAAACTGCTCACACTTTGCTGCTCCTACACATTTTAAAATGTAACGTCAGGGGTGTACAGATGAAGACTTTTTGTTTTTAATCAACACAAAGTTATTACAAACAAATTAAAATGTTCATATAATGGAAAATATTATTTTTTTCTGCATTCTCTTTGCTTTGATAGTAAACAGGAACATGTCTACTTTGTCATTTGGCTCACACAAAGCTGCTTTTAATTAATCATTAAATATTCCTAAATATATAAAATTTTATCCAAAAAGTGACAAAACTTCTGTTTTCATAGATGAGTTTTTTTCACCAAAAAATGTGCAAAATATACGTCTTTATTTTTATTTATTTTTAGGAAAACGTGCAAAATCCTTCCTAATTTTTAGGGATACAATAATTTCCACACCCATTCTTACAAAATGTGTCACTACTTTAAATTTAAATTGTTGTCACTTTAGTTTGTTGCTGATCCAGTAAAATTTGATTAGAAATTATGAAATTTTTGGCCCAAGTGACAAAAAGTTTCATTATTCAGACTTCAACCTAAAACGAAGCTACATAAACTGGATTTTGAGTGAAAGAAATTGTCACTTTAATTTAAACATCTGTTATTTTCCTGGCTGAAACCATGTGACATATAATATTTACATAAGTTTATATCAGCAGGATTTAAAATGTGCATATTTTGACACTTTATTACACCCACTCTCCTGCCCGTCCTGCTTTGGTGCTTCATGTCATCCTTGTAGTTACACATGGAGAACCACGGAGTGGAGCAACTGTCGGGTCGACTTGCTGCTGAGCCAACAGGACCGACGGCGCACCAACATGACTGGGCTCTGCGGCGGAGGCCTGCAGACGAGGGAAGTTTATTGTGTCCAGGCGAACGCAGAGCTTCTGAAATACCTGAACAACCTCAAAGAAAAAGACAAAGGTAAAGCTGAGGCCATTTTAATCCTTCAAGTCAGTTTATTTGTATTGACCTTTTGCAGTGTGACGTCACGCGTCCAATATCCTGCCCCCGTTTCCCTGCTGGAGGGCAAAAAGCTGCTCCCTGACAGTGACTAGCATCAGTTTTAGCTGCTAAGTTCTCAAAATCTTAATTGTCCGCCTGATATATAACAGAAAACGTGATTGCTAGTAATTGTCAACATTACAACTGGATGACAAGGTCAGGAAAAAGTCTTAAGAACAAAAAATAGTAAGGAAGAAGGAAGTAGGTCAGTAACGCTAGCTTGACTATGACAAACTTAACATGTAGATGTGCTGTGGAATTCGGTTCAGTTACAAAATAAAAGAAAGGCGACCTGAACGCCAACTCAGCCAGATCATCAGTAGAGCAGGTGTTTAATCCGCTGTGTTAGATTAGCTAATAGCAGCGGCAGCTACTGATTATCAACTGATTATTGATCAGTTATCAATAATCACAAAATAAACATCAAGCCTAAACACGTAAAACAGTAGCGAACTGAATGTTCTTTTCTTTGTGTGGGAAATGTTTGAGGATTCACTGATGAATCCTGAAACATATCACGGCGTTGTTGTCAGTTGCTATGGCAACGCGTCTGCATGTAGCGTAGCCGACGCAGAGAGCAAGAGAAAAGAAGATTTGTTTTGAGTTGTTGTTCAACAGATTTTCTGCTTTATTTTCCCATTTGCTGGGAAACGCAGCACCAAACCCGTGCTTCCTACATCTCCAGGCTTCATTTGGTGAAGGGAATCGTTCTACCAGCGCAGCAACGCAGCTTCGGATAACGTGTAAAAGAATCCTTTTTCTGTCCTCCAGCGTCGAGCGCATGCGCAAAATTTCCAGATTTAAACAATAACATGCAAAGGAGTCTTCAGCATTCTGATTTAAATTATAAAAACACAAAAATAAAAAGTAATAAAAAACAACATGCGGTCGACAATTGAGAAACCAGTAACAAACTTTACAATTTGACGAGTCATCCTCAAAAATCACCAAATTTATTTATTTTTTTAAATTTACAGTTGAAATAAAATAAAATGATCCACAATTTATGCTCTAACAAGTTTATAAATAGTAATTTTTTGTGATTTAAATTTTTGTGTGGATGAAATATATTTGTTTTCCCAAATAGCTGCAAATGTTGCGTAAATTGATGTAATCTAATATAACCAAATGGAGAGTAGCCAAAAGTTGTAGTGTCACTTTAAATAATATTACAATAAGAAAAGCTACAACATTGTCATCAAAATATGACAAAAGCGTAATTTGTTAAAAAAAAAAACTAACTGATTGATTGTAGTGGATTATTTGTGTTTTTAGAAACAACGTGATCAGAGAGTTTTGTAGTTTCAGATGTTTTAAATGATAAAACTCAAAAACAGAGTAAAAACAAACAACTTATTTGGATAATGACAGGTTAAGGTAAAATAAACTCACTTCCTCACAACATAAAGCCAAAAACCCTCAAAAAAATATAAAATTGGAGACATTAATTGCAGTAAGACAAAAACAAACATAACAGTTTACTGTTGTAACCTCTGAATACTAAACAAATATGCAACAGCTTAATTTCTGTCCTAATTCAGAGCATCACTAAATCCAGCATTAAGATTTTCCAGTGTCTTGACAAATGCTGATTAAGAAAGTTAAATAAATTTTAAAGCTGCCTTTTTATTAAATTATCTCAGGGACAAATTACGCTCCGCAGCCTGAATGCACAATACACAATGCACCAAGCATCCAGGCTGTTGTTTTTACAAGCAGAGTGAATACTGAGAGCTATTTAAATTAGCTTTGATATATATTATCTGAAACTCAGAGTGCAGAATATATGATTAAGGCCCATATTGTGAAGGTTGTCTCAATTAATCTTCTGTATCGCCTCCATGTAGAAAATAAAGATGCTCATCAAACAGCCTGAGGCAAAAAGCCTGAAGGCATCATTTTGGCCACCAGCTACTATTACAGCTTTCTAATCTGACAAGCTGGTCTCTGCTGGGGAAATAATCCCAGTTTATGATTACAAAACATTCACTGTGGTAGCAAAATTCTGTTGTAACGGTATTTTCATTTTAAACCAGTATTGCTAATGGTCAAAACCAGTAGTGGGCACCGCTAACTAAAATGTTTATTGCGCTAACCCTAAAGCGCTAGTCATAAACTTTAGCTATGCTAACTCTAAATCACTATATTAATACGGTATTTAGCGGAAGCTAATGCTAAAGCGCTAGCTTAAATTCAAATTGTATCTGCCTTTCAAATAGTACAATTTGACACAGATGCTGAACTTTATTGAACTGAAAGTCAGCAAAACAACCAAATAAATTAGCACTTTAGAATTCATTCAGAAAAGCTAATTGTTTAGCTAGCTACTGAGCTAGCTGCTAGCTAAACTGTGATATCTTATGATTAGTAATTAGAACTTGAGTGGACAAAAGTTTGTCATTGGGTCAAACTTTGTCTAAATCAGAACAATCCTTCTGAGCAGATGATTTGTGGTTATATAAAATATTTATTTCACCTTTTAGAGGGAAAAGAGAGCACTGGTAGTTGATTAGTCAACATCAGGACGATGGACCATTTTTAATGGAGGAAGGAAACAGATTGGTATATCCTCTTTTTTCCCTCTTTTAATCTATTTTGTAGTCCTGGTTTATAATATCCTCTCTTTGACGCTCAAATACTTCCTGTTTGTTGTCTTAGTTTCCTCTTGTGTCTATATATATATATAGACACAGCAGTTTGTGTACAAAAGAAAAAGAGACACTCCATACATCTGCTGTATCATTTTTGTGTGAATGTTTATCGTACTATAAAAATAATTTATTTGCTCACCATGACCAGGAGAAAACAAGAATATCCTATATTTACCATTTTTATTTATTATTTATTTTTTGCAGCTCTGAATCATCAGCCAATACACGTGTACATCTCTTTATGCAGAATCCTGGCTTTTTCTGCATGAATTACTTTTCATCTTCAACACTGGCTTCAGCATGGCACTAAAACACTTTTAAATATTAAGGACACATCCTCTTTCTTGTTCTTTAGGGAGGATTTTTCTTCTAGATTCATTGAAATTCAGGTGGAATCAGTCTGTAGCACCCTGAAAAAATGGCCCTAGATCTTCATTATTATACTAAAAGCAGCAGTAAATTTTGGGCCCGACAGCAGCAGCGGTCCTGTGCAGAATATGTTATAGGATAAATCTCACATGTTTTAGCACCTTGTGCCCTGCAGGGTTCATAATCAGAGCCACAATTTGAATAGCACATCTGAGCTAACAGAAAAGATGTGATGTTTTACAAACGGAGCAACATGATGTGAGCCGAATCACATCATGCAAGAGAGGCTCAAAACGCCTGCAGAAAAGAACTAGAAATATAATAAAAATGCATTGAAAGCTAAAAATTCATTTTGCCAGCTAAATATTTAGTTAGCAAGCAAAATATTTATCTCCAAAGTAGACATTAAGTTAGCATACTAAGTAAGTTAAATATTTAGTTTGAAGCAATATCTAAAAATTACTTGAGTAATATTTAGCTCGCTAATTAAATATTTAGTTTGAAACTGACATGGTGAAAATAGAAATAAAAAAATTAACCCTTATTTTTTCTTCTTCTAATATTTCAGTCTAAATAATCCAGATTATTTCTGTGTAGGTTTTTGAACGGCTCCCCATATCCTGAAGCACAATATAATATTTTGTAGATTTCAAAGTATTTAGAGCGAGTTTGACCATTTCTTGAACTTTTTTAATAATGTGAACAACGTGATTAAGTAAGTAAATAAATAAAGTAAGTAAATAAATATCTATGACAGAATCAGTAAGTGATCACTGTTGCTAAAATAAACTAGACTGAACACTCTTGGCGACTTGGACTGAAAAACTTTCTGAATTATAAAATTTTAGCCCGTTTTATCAGTAATTCCTGTGTCTGCCCAGCTTTACACGGCGATCCGTTTACCCTCTTGTTGGAAACAAAACGAGTCGTTTGCAGCCAGGACTTGTCTGCTTGTGTCCGGCTGCGACTCGTCCTGCAGAGTCCTGAAACGCCTCCATGTCTGACACTTGTCAAGCCAGCTTAGAGTCAAAGCTGTCCTCTTAAGAGCGTTTTAAAGACATTAGCTGAGGTTAATCCTGTGGCGGCTGATCGCTCTGATCACGTGAAGAGAGGCGCGACGTCCGCTTGCAACATGTGTCAGAAGATGTTCGTCTCACTCAACATGGAGGAGAACGTTTTAGTTCAATGTAAACAGACGTCTTTGCAAATTACATAAGATGATTTATCTGCAATTTTCATCTTTCAAAAAATCTAACATAGTTATAATATAAAGAGAAAGTTTGTCTTTCAGTTCAGGTAGAGTTGAGAAGTAACTTTACTCAGTTACATTAGTAAACTTGGAAAAATGTAGTATAAATGGAGTACTTTTTACTTTTTACTTGAGTAATTTTATTATGAAGTATTTCTACTCTTACTAGAGTAAAATTTCTGCATTTTCTACCCAGTGAATAAAAAAAACATTTTAACCAAAAATTCACTTCACCAGACACAGACACACACTGTCTGTGTCTGGCAGTGTCTGTGTCATACATTTTATATTGGGAAAAAAAAAGAACTGGAAAATATTAACTTTTGTCTGATTTTGTTATTTTCTAAATTTGGTTTTTATGTGAATTGTTTTCATTTGGTTTTTCAAATACCAATATTTCCACCTAACTTTATGTTTTGGTTTGTCTGGTGGTGTAATTTTGATCTTTGATGACTTAAATTCACTTTTTGCACATTTTTGTTTTTCCATTTGGGCCTCAACTGCTATAAGGAAAAAAACAAACCAGTTGTTTTTTGGTAACAAGTCAAAGTTTTTTGGTGTCTGAAAAATGAGCCATTTCTAAAACCTCCCAACTGTTGAGTCATTCTGTGCGTTACCTAGCAACCAAAGTGGAGCTCTAGCACATTTGC